GCCTGTTGCCTTTTGGGACTGTAGCAAGGCACATGGTTCACTATGGTAGGAGCTTGTGTTAGAGAAAGCTGCTTACCTCATCATGGCTGGAAAACAAGAGCGGAACAGGGGCTGAGGTCCCAATATCCCTTCAAGGGTATGTTTCCAATGACCTAAATTCCTCCCAGTAGGTCCCATCTCTAAAAGACTTCACTAACTCTTAATGTCACCATGAGTTGGGAACTAAGCCTTTATCATATGACCCTTAGGGGGACATCTAGGCAAACCACAAGACAGACATTATCATTTTCTTGCTTAAATTATCTCAATTTTGGCCCAAAGGAGCCTCTTCAGCTTCTTTTGTCATTTTCATAAACCCCCAGAGGCCTCTGACAGCTTTCTCACTCTCTGGTATGATAAGATACCTAGACTTACCTCGAAAATTTCTTTTCCTAGGCCGAGTATTAGACATTCCCCCACAGATCTCTGTCTGGTTCTTTTTAATAGAGAACGATAGACCATAATGTGATCATTTACTGACTTTTGGTGATATTCATCTTGATTTTTTTTTTTTTTTTGGCAAAGGTAATCTCTTTAGGTGTTTTCTGGTGTGAGAGCACTGGTGGAGCTTGGGCCTTTGTGATTTTTCCCTATGAATTTGAAGAGTACACAGCCTGCTCCTTCCATGTAGGGCCTGATTTACTATCATTGCTTGTTTTTTCTTGCTGGGACCAGTAGGATAGGTCAGGAAAACAGAAGTTTCTTTCAGTGTTATGGGTATGACAGATTTTAATAAGAAGATAGTATTGACTGAATTGTCTCCCTCCCTTTTTATGTTAAAGTCCTAACTCTCAAGTGATAGTATAAGTAAGTCATTTGGGAGGTAACTATGTTTAGATGAAGTCAGAAGGATGAGTCCCTCATGATGTAATTAGTGTCCCTATAAAAAGAGACACGAGAGAGCTTGTGTCTTTTCTTTCTATTCACATGTACAAGTAAACGCCATGTGATAATACAATGAGAAGACAGTCTTTTCCAGAAACTGAGTTGGCTAGCCCTTGAGCTGAAGCATGGTTTAGTTGGAAATATGTTTTAGAGATGTGGTAGGAAAAGGGAGGAGAGAAATAAGAGATGTTTATATGTTCAAGGGTGCATATTCTTTTGTAATAACAAAGTGATAGGAGCTTTGTACATTTGAATAAACTAAGTGTTCTGCAGAGAAACTGCTGGAGAGGAAAACACAGTGCTGGATTTGGGAATTGGAGAAGTTCATGGATATTTCTCTTTTTTGAAGAAACTTTACCCTCCCTTCCCCACTGCCACTTTAAAAAAAAAAATTTTTTATTAAATAATTGAATTTATTGGTACATTCTAGGTATACAATACAGTTACATTCATTGTTGGGATCTTGTACCTCTACATGACAGGTCTTGGATCTCATTTTTTCCCCTTGTCCCTGCCCTCCCTTCACCCCCTCCTCCCCTCCCCATCCACAAACACTTTATTTCCATCTTTTCACATTCTCACATTTTTTTCTTTTCCCTAATTACCTTTCCCCTACCCATCCCACCTTCCCTACACCTTTAGCCCCTTGCTTCCCATTTCACAATGTCAGTTATCTCATTAGGATTTTATGTACTATTACAGTTTACTTACACCAGAGAAACTATTCGGTATTTACACATGTGTGACTTATGTATTTTACTTAGGAGTATATCCTCAATATGTATCCATTTTCCTATGAATGAATCTAATTTCTCATTCTTTATGGCTGAGTAATATTCCATTTTATAGAAAAAAATCACATCTTCTTTATCTGCCACTTTTGATATTCTAGTTTGTGTCACCAAATGTAACTCCAGAGAATCAAGAAGGAGGAACTGATCTAGGGGAGTCTTCTGGTTTTGGGCTTCTCAAAAGATGACCTTTTATTGCAGTCAATTTCTACAATAGCTTCTGCAACCATAAGTCAGAACTCTTTCTATATGATTTTTGAAAAGCTATATGTAGATTTACTGAGTAAGAGATTGATCCAGACCTATAAAACTTCACCATTAAAGAATGAGACCTAGGCTGGGAATTTAGCTCAGTGGTTCCACCACCTGCCTCACAAGTGCAAGGTCCACACAGTTCAATCCCCGGTACCAAAAAAAGAAAAAAAAAGAGAGAGACCTAGAGATTAATTATGGTCCTCAGCAATTGAAAATACTCTACAGTGAAAAAAAAGCCTATGGCATCATGGAGATGGAAAGAAAGGAGAGAATCATAGGGTTAAGCAAAGGACACAATATTCAGGGCCTTTTAGAACCTAAGAGAAAGTTTGGATTTTTGTTGTACGTGCAGTGGGTTTTAAATAAGAGAGCAGTATGATCTGATTTATACTTTGAGTAGATCTTTCTGGCTGCTATTTGTAGAATGTGAAAAAGATACCAGTCAGGAGCTTATTGAAGCTGTACAAATGAAGGTTTAGCATGTCCTCACCTGGAGTTTTAATGAGGAAAATGGAGAGAATTGGTTGGATACAGAATGTCCTTTTAGGATACTGTCAAGACTTCCCCATGGGCCAGACATGGGGATAAGGGAAAGGGAGAAATGAAATGAGTGTAACTTCCAGTTCCTGTCTAGAGGAATAAGGTGGGTGGTAGTGCCAGAACAGAGGTTAAGATGGGGAAGGTTGAGGGAGAAAATATTTGGGAGGAAAAATGAAGATTTCTCTCTTAGCTATCATAGGTTTGAGAGGCCTATGAGATATCCAAGTGCAAATAATGTTGAAATAGCTCTGACTGGACTTTCTGGTTCCAGTGCTGGCTCTAATTCCCTCTTCTTTTGCTCCTCCATTCTCTTCTATAAGCCATGACCTTACTAATCCTCCTCAAGCCTGGCTGGGATCATGCAGCTCCGTGTTTTAAAATACTCAGCATGCCCTTATGAACCTCAGAATCATACAGATCTCAATCTGGTTTTCATCCATTAACTTATGCTCTGAACATCACCTTCCAGCTTTGTCTTTTATTGTCACTACCCTATACCTACTATATAGTTCAGCAAAACTAGACAATTTCCTATTTACCAAACATAATTTATACATCCCTGCTTCTGTGCCTTTGCTCAAGCTTTTCCCTCAGCCGGGGATGTTCTTCCTCCCATATTTTTCAATTGATCTTGTATTTCAAAATTTATTTCTATTGATGGTAGTTGTTCAAATGAGATTGCTGTTTCTGTCATTTTACAATGCATTGCTTAGCTCTTACACACTCTGCTGAGTGTTTATAGTCACCGATTTGTTTACTCACCATCCACTCAGTTTAACAGGAAACACCATGAGGACACAGGCCACGTCCTATTTATTCCTTTGCTGTTGAGTCTTGTTCAATAAAAACACAAAATTGATATTTATTGATAACATACAGTACCTGTAGGCCCAGCACTTGGGAAGCTGAAGTGGGAGGATTGTTTTAGCCCAGGATTTTGAGGTCCACCAGAGCAATGTAATGAGACCACATCTCAAAAAATTAGTATTTGTGAATTGAAATAAATAAAATTACCCTTTGATTCAGTAATATATTTGCAGAAGAGAAATATGGTATAACCCAGCCAAACAACCAGTTATACAAGTTTTTAGGATTATGAGCAAAACAAATAGCAAGTTTACAAGCAGGTGTTAAGGACTGATTTTTTTAAATCCTGAAGATAGTAGGTTAGTGCCAGAAAAATAATTCATACCTTGAAAGACATGGGCTTAGAAGAGTCCAAACCTCCCTAGTCCCCACAGGCTACCGTAACTGTTCTGAATAATAACTCTTCTGAATTATTCACTTAGTACTGTTGGTTTATTACTACTACTTCAGTGAGAGGCCTTATGTTGGCCTCTGAAAGAGTCTTCAGGACCCTGGTAATTTTGACAGTCACATGCTGTGTGGCACATCATTGCATCAATTAGAAAACATATCTGATAATGAGAAAGATTAATTAGCACTTGGACATTTTGTAATGTACATGGTAAAGTATCATCCAAAACATTTAAAAAGCCAACTCACAGCTATGGGAATTTGTACAGTTATAATCTGTTAGGAAAAAAATATCCCAAGTGTATTCCAGGTTGTAGTTAGTCAGGGTACAAGGGAAGCAAAAGTTGGAAAAGTACAGATGAAGCACCTGAGATTCCAGCAGGACGCAGTGAGAGTTCAGGATATAGTTGTCCTGTAAGGTAGTGTAGTAAGTGGTCCTGAAAAAATTTTAAATCAAACTAGAATCAAGAGCATTTATGTTCAAATGGGAAGGGGAACAACAGAGGGGGGAGGGAGAAGGAGAGGAAAAGGATAAGAAAAGTGGATAGGAGGACAAAATGGGAACAAAGCTTTTGTAAATAAGGAAGGAAAGAAGGGGTGAAGGGAGGGTAGGGAGAAAAAAGATAAATCAATATATATTATGTGTAGGTACAAGTTCCCTATGATGAATATTATTATGTATATCAGAAGTGTACCAGTAAAATTAAATTAAAAACAAGAACATCAGTAGTGTCATATGGAACTGAATGCTTTCTAAAAATCCTATCAGTTGATAAGGAGTCACATTGCTCAGCCATTTTTTTCTGAAAAAATAAAAACTTTTAAAGTATTTTAGGAAACTCCACTAGATTTAGATATTTTTAAACAGCTTTTGGATGATTAATTTAAAATTCATATTTGATTTTGGAAGAAGCAAGATGTTTCTGATCTAAAAGAAAGCAGCATTGTAAAGTGTTCATTCCTGTGTAAGAGAAACCTGTCCCAGTCCACCCTCTCGTCTGTGCAAGGAGAATGTAGATGAGACGAGTCATTTTATTTTCATGACTGTTTCACTTTGGGTGTGTGGATTCCTCTTTCTTTATTTGCCTTTGAATCGTGAAATAGTCTTTCTTATTGACGTTAGCTGTTGCAGCAATAACAACCTACAGAGCCCTCACTGCAGAGAAACTGTAGATCATTGAGTTAAGAGCTCTGAAAGGCAGAGTTGGATTCTTATCCTAACTCCACTGACTTCCCTGAGTCTTAGATATTTCATCTGTCAAGAAGGGATATTAATAATACCAACATCACAGTATCAAATGAAATACTAAGTATGAAAAGGCTACACAAAGCAAAGCACTAAACGTATATTATTGCAACACCAGTAAAATGAGAATAAATACCTTGTTTCTGTGAATTTTCAGTGAGGTGGCATGTAATACGCCTGGTTCAGGACCTCATACTTAGTACAGGCTCAAAAGAGATCAAAAGTTAACATGGACAAAGTGAAACAAACTGGAGATGGGAGATGGAGAAATGTTGAAACAACAGCCACCACCACAACACGAGGTTTTCAATCCATCTACAAACAGAGCTTCTGTTCAGGATGTCCATGGGAAAACACATGGGTGCACGTATGTATACGCAGCAGGTTGCTTAGACTTCAGGCTGAACTTGTAAGAAAAGAGGCTAAAAGGGGAAAGCGAAATCTGGACCTTAAATTCTCCACAATCTCTCATTTTCTTCCCCCCCGCTTATTTTACGAATTCAGTTTGTTTTCACAAAAATACAGTTGGTAAAATATTTGTAGGATTCTGATTCAGAGGTTAAATGCTCTTTGAATACCTTGTGTGAAATGAACATATCTTTTTCTTTTTTTAAAAAGGAGCTAATAGGTTATGTAAATGATAAATCATGTAAAACAGTAAAGGCTGAAAGGCTCGATTTTTGTTTAAGGCCGATTGGGATTCCCCCCTGGAGTGCATGAAATTAAAATGTGTGCACAAAACCAAGTGATTGCTTCAGAATGCCTTTTTAGTGGTGCTTGTCTCTGTGAAGGCTTAGTGCCGCCAACAGGAAGCAAGGTGGAACAATTCAGGTGGTGAAAGATGGATTCAAAGAGGATGTTGATACAGAAGAAATATTGGCAGTTCGGCCATCATCAGTTGCAGGTAGCAGAATCGGTTAGCTTAGGCATGGCAGGGGTTGGTGAGAAGGATATCACCGAAGTAACCTGGGGATGCTCCGTGCAGGCACAGTGCAAGTATCCCCAGTATGACTAGCTCACTAATCACCATCATAAGCAACATGGCCACCCACAGGCCCTGTGTGTTGCAATATGGCTGCTAGAAGCCTAAAGTCTTTCAGCTCCTGTTCCTTTAAGTACCATGGCAGTTTGTGGCTTCAGGAAAGTTTTGCTTGAAAAATGTCATTTTCTTTCACTCCTAAAGATACAGATGGCCAAAAGGGCTTGAAGAAAAGGGAAAAAAAATTGAACTGTGGACAATCTCTCATTTTCTGAGGAATGATAGAGATGAGAGATGCATATTATTGCCTTTCCCAAAAAGTGACTCTTTTTGAAAATCCTGGCAGCCGTGGAAGAGTACACATAGGACTTGATGGAACCACTTAAGTAATGCACGTGGTTTAAGAGAGATGGGAAAAACATGAAATGTTGAAAGAATAGAATGATTAAGGAGAAGAAGCAATTGATCCTGAAGAATAGCAACTATAATTATAGACTGGAAATCTGCCGGCATTTTTCTCATTCTTTTCTAGAATGAAAAATGACTTCTAATTACAAAAGCTATATATGTTGATTATAGAAAAAGCAGAAATATAGATAAGCAAAAATTTTACAAAATAAATATTATTTCTTATTTTTATGACCTAAAGTTAATCACTTTGTCAGCTTGCTGTGTTTTTTTAGATATAACGATGCATGCAAGTGTGCAAGCTGTCCACAAAATTGGATGCATGCCTTCATGCTGTTTCATAGCCTGCTTCACTAGTCTGAAATATATTATGGGAGAATCACGCCAGCTCCCAACCCAGCCGCCATCCTGAAGCACCAGGAAGTAGCCTGGCCCCGGATCCACCGCGGGAAGGAGAACCACACCTGCTCCCGACCCAGCCACCATCGCTCAAGCACCAGGAAGGTAGCCCCGCGGACGTCCCTGAACCCCTATAACCCCCCCGCCCCCGCACTCTCAGACCTCCTGACTGTGCCAGTCTTTGGACCCACTCTGCAGAGGCAGAGGTGGTCATCAAGGGTATTTTTCTGAGTTCCCAACTTTGAACATCTTTAAAGAAAGGGCGTGGAAAACCTGTGATAGAACGTTGCGGAGTTGAACCATTCAGAAGGTTGGGGAACTCAGTCTGGGCCTTGCAGCCCGAGGTCAGTCAGCATCATGGGGTTCAGCCATCAACTAACTGAGATCAGGGGTCTTGCATCCTCCCTCTGTCTGAGCCAATAAATGGTAAATACACTATAATGAAATTTTGTTCACTGCAGATAGTTTTCATCTTGAGTGTTTTTGTTTTTTGGGTTTTTTCCTTTTCAGTCTTTGATTGACAACTGCCATGGTATTTTGCTTTGATGTATATATACATGTAGTTGCATCCAGTTCAGTAAAAATAATGCTGCTATGAAGTATGCAAATACTGGAGTATGATGGTTTGACTGTATGACAGTGTTGTAGCAGCCTCTTGGTTTTTACTTTTTTTTTTTAACTTATTGACATTTTTTATTTTTCATTAGTTTTCAATGATGAGAGCAAGACATTGCTATCTAATTTTTAACCTTTTTAATTAAAAAATTCCAATGTTAAGTAGCATGATTGCTGCTATTGTTTAGCCTTGCCCTCTAAATTGTATACATTGGCCTCCAATGTTCACACCTTGCTTGCTTGGCAGAAGATAATTGCCATATTCTACATTGATACTGTTTTGTATAAAATAAAATGGTAAAGATTAACACCTGTTTTATTTCTATCCTAATTGCCAGTTTGTTTTACAGTACATTGATGGACATGAAAGAATGCTTTCTCTAATATAAAAACTTATGCTATGTGGTAAAATCTTGATATGTTTATATATTTGATAACATTTTGAGTTCTATGCTGACCACAGAATGTCCTTTAGTTTTTAATTTTCTATAAACTACTGTGTAAAGTTTCCTAATTTACTTAAATACACATGAAATTTGGGTCTTACAATTAGTTGCATATATCAGCTGTCACACCCCCTTACTTGTAATAGACTATAAAATACAGCCACAGAGTTTATGGAAAAGTTTTCTACATTTCGGATGCCACACCTTAAGTTTTGGCTTTCATGAAGTTAAAAGATTAGAGATACTTGAATGTTTTCTTTTTTTGTTTGTAAAACAGTGTCATTACAGTCTGTACCAAATCACAGTACAGTTTTGCATTTAATCTGTATTGAAGAGAAAGCAGTTGTACTTTTGAATGATATTTAAAATTTCATATTCATACCTACATTTAAAATATTTCCCTGTAATTTTCACAATAAATAGTTTCATTTGCCTCAAAAATATATATATATTATGAACAACTTTTTCTATCATTAAATATTCTTACATTATATGCATAATGAATCCATAACATCCCATTGTGAAGCTAGAGCATAATTTCTTATTGAGCTATGTGGATTTACAATCATTCACCATTAGAAAGAGCATGTTAGTGAATAAATTTATAAATATGCATTCATGCTTGCTTCCATCTTTAATGTTTTCTCAGAATAAAATCTAGAAATAGGCTCATAAAGGTCAGAAGTATCTATCAATTTGTATTGCTGCACAGTTGTTTCTTGGGCTGCTGTAAGTAGCATCTGTCTTTAAAATAAAGTATAAAGATATTTTGAAAATTACAGCCTCCCCGAAGTTTATCTCAGTTCTTGGGGATAGTTAGTGAAAGGCAGCTTGTGTTAAAATAAGTACAAAGTAGTACATCAGTCTTTCATAGGTCCATTCCTGAACAAGTCAATCTCAAAAGATTGACCTATTGCCATTAGAATGATTAAATCAGTGAACCTAAAGGTATATTTGATTTGGAAAAATACTATTAATTCCTTAAATTTCCTGGTGGCCATTGCTTTCAGAATGAATTCTGTTCTGAATAATCTTCATATGAATTATGATTTTCCACTATAACCAAGAATCTTTAAACTAATTTTCTAGGTAATTAACTATACATATATAGATATAGATATAGATATATTCAAAGAGAGTAAAGTTATATATAATATGAAATCACCTAGGAAAACTACTAATTTTTTTGCACAATTTCCATTTTATTGCCAGAGTCATATACTACATTTAATTTTCTTTTTGGAGCTAGGGATTGAACTCAGGACCTTGCCTCTGTGAGGCAGGTGGCAGAACCACTGAGCTTAAACCCCAGCTGTATGCTACATTTAAGTCTTGTGTCTAATTCTGTATTATATATATTTGGGGGGATACCAGGGATCGAACTCAGAACCTTGTGCTTGCAAGGCAGGAGCAGAACCATACATTTCTTAATAAATTAATTCATCCATTTGTGTGCCAATAGTCTTTGAGCACTTACGTGCCAGGCACTGCTAGACTTAAGACATATAGAAAGACCCTGCTCTTATAGATCTTACATTTTAATGATGGAAACAGATATTCAATAAATGGACAAATCAAACAGCTTAATATTACAGAATGCCACAGTTTTCTTATCTGTTAATTAAAAAGAATATTTCATAGGATTTGTATGAGGATTAAATGAGACTGTGAAAATTATTTAGCATACAAATATTTAATGAGTATTATTTCTCTTTCATCTTATCTCTTGGAAAAATAAAAGTAACGGGATATAGATTTCTGAATTCTGACCTGAGATGAAGAAATCAGCAGATGCTTTATTCTACATTAAAGGAAAGGAAAATCATGGCTAGTTGGAGTCCTATATTCCTCACTTATCTGCATCTCAAGTTATTTTCCCCTATTTGGAAAGTTTTCTACCATTACTTTTTCAAACAGTTTTTTTTTTTTTTTTTTTTTGCCAGGATCAAACTCAGGACCTTGCACCTGCAAGGCAGTCGGCAGCACCACTGAACTAAATCCCTGGCCCTAGCAGATTTTGATGATTCACATTTTCTTTTGTTACTTCTTGTTCAGAGCCATCTTACCTTGCAACACATAGCCTGCAGGACTTTTTGGATGATAGTTTTCTCAAGATAGAGTTGTATTAGATTATTTTCAAAGTTTGTTTCAGAGCTAACATAAACTCTTCCCTAGGAGATATACCCAAAAATATGTGTGCCCAGATTGTCCTTGACCACAAGTTTGGGACTTAAGTCTGCCAAAAATGATACAAATTTAACTATGACTTTTAAAAGAATTCTATTCTACTAAGAAGTGATAGAAAGGTCAACTGTGGAAAGATCACATTTTAATTGAGAGAAGCCAAACGTAAACTAAGGGAAACTGAAAAATAATTAAATATTTTTTCATGTCACAAGGACAGACAATGTGATCATTAATAACTACTTTAAAATTAATTTCTTAAAACAATGATATATGTGTACCCATGTTGGTAGCAGCACAGTTTGTAATAGCTAATTCTGGGAAACAACCAAAATGCCCATCAACCAATGAATGGATAAAAAAGATATAGTTTTTTTATACAAGGGAGTACTACTCAGCCATAAAGGAAGATAAACTTGAGGCATTTGTAGCTAAATGCATGCAACTTGAGACTATACTCTTTAAGTGAAATAAACCAGACACATATGTAGAAATATCATATTGTCTCTCTAATGTGAGAAAGTGAAAGGGTAAATAAGGACCAAAATGTGTAATAGATAACACGAAATAGGAAGAAACTGTTCAAAAGGAAAGGAAAACTTTAAAAAGGGGAAGGGGGAAGGGAAAAAATTGATAAAAGAAGGGAAAATGGAAATAAAGCTTTTCTAAATGGGAGGAGGAGAGGTTGAAGGGCGAGAAGAGGAACGTGAGGAAAAAGAGGAATCAAGGTATATCATGTGCAGGTACAGACTCTCTTTGATGAATGTGATTATTATATAGATTTAAATTTTACCAAAAAAATTAATGAATAAAAAATGAAAATTCTTATATTTACTAAGATTTTATTATTTGCTTCATATGCATTACATATATAATTCTCACAACAGCCTAAAAAGACGAAGGTGTTCTTATTCTCTGAGAGATGCAGATGTGGAAAGCATACTTGGGCGCTCACACAGTGTATTTGGTGAGGAGAATGCCAACGTGGTGGTAAAATCACTGAGCTGAGAACAAACCCAAGCTTTTAGCCACTGTGTCTTGTTATTGCCAACCATTGCTATCAACAAGCCCACTGTCTTGATAATGTAAGTTTTCATCCTGGCCTTCCATGGACTCTGGAGATTGTATTTTTAATATGCATGGATATATAGTTTCGTTTCAGCTCAGACGGGTCAGAAGATTAA